CTGCAGGCCAACTCGCTCCCGATCAGCCCATGGGCCGTAGTTGATGGTTCCACCTTCGAGTTTGACATCAATTCCCCATTCCGGAGGTGGTGCGCCATTGAGATCCTGCGAGATTTTGCCAGATGCAGGTGTCTGCGCGGACTGGGGCCGAACGCACCCGGGTATATCCCAGAAATAGGTTACCGTCATACTAGGGGTATCCAGAATCGTAGAGAATCTACCGTACTCAATGGAGCTCCACTCGCTATGGTCATCCTGACTGGCTTCATCCAAGTACCGAGAGAGACCAACCCAACGCACGTCGCTGCTACCATCGGTCTGGTGTCTCGGACCATTGTCGGTCGGCTTCTCCGTCACATGGAATGATTCCACGGACGACTGGAAGTAAGGAATCAGATCACGGATACTATGCCACATTCTTCGTTTCTGAAATTGATAGTTGAATATGGTATCCCTTTTGCGCTTTGTTCCCGGGTTGTTCTCTTCTGTTGAACTAATACCTTTCGCAGTGGCGAACTGATTCTGCTTGAAATCCGGGTTGGGTCGCATCTGAATGACGGGATGGCTCATCTGGAAAGTGAATGCCTGTCGGTAGAGGTCCAATGGTCCAGCATCGCACGCCTCGATCAATCCCGTCGCGCCGTCGAACGTGGTGGTCAAAACGGATTTCGTACTCTCATTGCCCATCACAATAGCGCCTTTATCACATTCTAACCTCAGCGGCAGGAGCTGAAGTAGGACGTTCAAGCTTTCCTCCATTTCTTGTCCAGCGCCTCCCGCATGTTGAGTGTCGATCGTATCCCTGCCAGTCCTACTCCGCCCCGGAACATTGTCTGTAGCCGATGTCCTGTCGAACTCCGATCCGCTTGCATCGGGGCCCCTCTCCGAATGCGTCTTCAATTCAGGGTCCACGGCATTGCTTGCTGGGAACTGCGGCTTGGTATAGGAGGCTGGATTTTCCGTGAAACCGGCGAGGATACTGTCGTAGGCGGGGGTCCGGTTGTAAATGAACCACTCAAGTCCGTAGAATTTGGCGGTAATTCGGCAAGGGAGTGTGTCCGGTCGGCCCTGGCCTCCCTGTTCCTTGATGCCACTGTCTCCGACACCGCTGGCGCCATCACCTTCGGAAGTTCGACCATTTTCTCGCTTCTCGTCGGCTTCCAGGCCGGACAACTCTGTTTTCCTAACCGACCGTTTCCAATAGCGCCATGTTATAAACCCTCCATGTACAAAGATCGTTTCATTTACTCCATGGTACCGGATGCCCTTGAAGAAGATCCTACCGCCGAGCAGGGAGACTTGAAGAGAATGGATGTCCACGTATGCGCGATAGTAATGCCACGTGTAGGCTCGGATTCCGTACGAAAGGAGGGTTGCGAATAGGCGATTGAAATAGAGTAGGAAGAATAAAACACTATAATATCATTATTAGCTGGAGTGTGTCGAAAGTTCCAGGGAGTTGATTGATTCATACAGAATACAGGAGACGATGATCTCAAGAAGGAAGTACCTGCGAGGACGTTAGCCACTGCGCGACCGTCGCAATCCAGCTACCTACCAGTTAAAACTCGGATCTGGCGTGAGAGTTAACGTGATTAAGCTTGTATTCGCCATCATTCAATATCCCAGGACCGCCGATGGCCGCGACCATGGCGGCGCGGGACGATTAAGCTTCCCTGGAAAGGATCCTGGGCGAGTGCATGTCACTTGGAGATAAATCAATCATGCGCTGAAAACTCAAACCAAGAAGCTCATATAGAAGAAATGGAAGAGACAAAAGCCACGTCCATCCTCTGGATGTTGCAGATGGGAGTTATTGTTGGCAGCAGCAGCCCACTTGTTTCTAGGGGCTGGCCAACTTCATTTGCCGGCATAATTTCCCCTCCGCCTTGGACTCTCGCCGCTTTAGCAGTGGCCCGAAAGGGTTAGTGCGTCTGCGGGCCGTTCTTTGGTTTAGCGCGGATTGTCTTGTCTCTACTCTCTCGTCTCTCTGAAGACATTCACATCTGCAGTGTTAGAATGTCAGATCAAGAGGGTAATCTGACCCAATTAGCCCTCACATTATTAGACTGGGTCTACCCATATCCGCAGTATGATCTTTAAATATCCTTTAACCGCCCGAGTAATCCTCAGGTTACACCGTGCCTGCTGACGATATATCTGGCCTGCTCCACAACACCCCCCTTGAGAAACCCCAGGGTAGAAGTTCAAGTTTGACAATGATACCCCTGAGGTATATACCCCGTGACGTCGCGATCTTACCTTGGGGCCTCTCGTTGTCATACCATTGGGCGGCTGATCGGGCGACTTTCAAACCTCCATGTTCACACCTCTACGTCTACTGCCTGTCATTGGACATGGGGATTGTACAGCCCGTTCGAAGGTCTCAGAAAGTGATACACTTCCACTCGGGCCGTCGAGTGATACTCCCTGAGACATATACGACATGTGTAGCCATCACGTGCTGGTAGCAGGAGTGTTGCTCCCTTCTCCAGATGTGTCCGGCAGTCAGTCTGCTTAGACTCTCGAGGCTGTTAGATCAATGCATTGCAGCTCCTTGGTTTTCTAGAGAGATATAATTTACATCAATTAGTGTGGAGTGAGGTCCTTTTTTCTTCATGCTATCCTTCACCAATCTATCCCCGGGGCCGATATGGCCGTCACTCGGATGGTACCCCTCCTGTCTTTTGAGTCTGCTCTATGAACCGGTTCATTACCTGATTCAGGGCATATCCTCATCTGTTCAGAAGAGCGCCGTGCAATGCGCAGAAACTGTGAAGCGTTCTCCATACGTAAGGGTTTATCTGACTGACCATCGCGAATGCCGTTAACCCTCTATAGACCAGCAGCTTACTCTCTGCCCAAAGTCCACACGCGATCGTTACTATGAAACATCGACCGACTATCAAACAGTCAACCAACCAGAAACTCCTGATGATAGGGATATTTGCAGAAGTATATCTAGTGGACGACAAAATCATCAGGAAAGCCCCTCGCAGTCCAAGCAGAGAAGACGCCGAGCCCATCTCTCGAGAGGCCGCTATCTACTCAATCCTGGGCGACCATCCCCGTATCGCTCAATGCCTTCCGTCAAGCCATTCAGGCCATGTTGACATCCAATACTACCCACGCGGAGACCTCGTGATGTACTGCCGGGAAACCAAAATCGGCCCTGATCTACAAGCAAAGTGGTTCCAGCAGATCATCGAAGCAGTTGTTGTCATCCACAGAAACCGCATAATCCACTCAGATCTAGCATTGCGGCAGTTCTTTGTCGACGACGACCTCAACGTCCGTCTTGGGGATTTTAACTCGTCCCAGTATCCAGGACATCTTGCACTGGGCTATGAAAAGCCATCCCATTGCCTTCCCCGAGACTATGAGATGCCCAACACCGTCGCTTCGGATCTGTTTGCCCTCGGATCGACACTCTACGAGCTTGTAGTCGGCAGCCCTCCGTACCAAGAGCTCTACCCTATCGAGTCACAGGAAGTTATTCAATCGAGCGAGCATGCCGTCATTCAAGCTCGGGTTCAGCGTCAACATCTTGCCGATGCGGAAGTTGAGGAGCGATTCAGGAATCAACTGTATCCGGATGTATCAGGACTTCTTGGCAGTGAAGTGATTCTAGGATGCTGGCGGGGAGAATTTTCTTCAGCAGAGGAGGCGCTTGCTCGATACTGGACCTTATGAATCAAGTAGCTAGATGAACCGTGTGGAATACATGATAACTCATAGCCCGAACATTCTGCACATAACCCCTTAAAACAAACAACACGAAACTTCCCAATACACTTCACAGCCCCTCTATGATGTGACCATCGGAGGGATACCATAACCAAGATTGTAATCAAGCCTCATAGCCCCCGAAACTTCCACACCAAACGAACCTCAGCCTATCACAGATCCAGCAAACTATCAGCCCTCCCCATCCTGTCCCATATAGTATATCCCCCTCCATCAAAACCCAAAAACAAAAACCTATACTCACCAAGCCCCAAGCAAACAAATGTTCCAAATCCCCCAAAGCGACCCGTCCCGTCTCCTGTGTCGAGGGGATTCAACCCACGGTTGAAGCAAGCACGCAAACGAACACCGCTTCCCCGGTTACACAGTAAGGAGTGCTTGGAGGATGGCCCATTGGACAAGACGCAGCAAACGGCAGTGCCAACAGACTGCAGTCGACTTCCTATAAATAGACCCGGCGTGGTTTGGTGGGTTGCATAGCTAGGTAGCCTGGTTGAGTGAGATGTGCGGGCATCGAATTATCGACCTACTTTACACATTTACCTACATATCAAGCAAGCTTGCAGATATCAATCAAACCTCTCTATCTCTCTAGAACATTTATACATACTAGTGTTTCCCCCATGATAAGTATGATCTGTCAATATATCTGTCTATTGATCTATCTACCCCGTCTACGCGCACCTTTATACATACCTCACCTCAGAACCACTCCAACATCACAACCCCCTCAACTAACCCTCACACACCATCCAGGTCCTCGCCATGTGCGAAGAATACCAAACAACAAGCATAATCGGCGGCGTGATAGCAACGCAAACGATACAGAACGAATGTCCTGAGAAACCAGCCGCGGGGACGGTCAAACAGTGTCCCAGATACAAGTTCATCGCTGCGGGATCGAGCCGACAGAAGAGGAACCTGCCGAAGTGGGCTACTGGGGGTGATAAAGGGGATGGAGCGGGGTCTGGGTCTGGGTATGGGTCTGCGAAGTAGGAGATCGAGGATGGATGGGATGGGGAGGGAGGCTTTCGATAGATTGCCATAGGATATTATAAACCTGGGTTATAACCAGGAGAGCTGCTGGGGCAGGGGGTTGTTGAAACGAATGACGACAGATCTCAATGCATGTACCTTAAAAGAAGAGAACGAATTATCGTGACACAATCTCCGAAATTAAATTGTGGTATGGTATATTTTCATGAAGATATAATAGGCAGACAGTCAATTCTTATCATGATTCGTGACCCATTCTATAGCTTTCCAAGGGTATTTCCCAGCTCGGCCGCTCGGTTCGTAGCCGCCTTGACAGCCTGATCCACAGTATCTTGGAAGTTCAGGGATTCGAAGGTCTGGAGAGCGGCGTGCGTGGTTCCGTTCGGGCTGGTGACGTTCTTGCGCAGCTGGGTAGGGTCATCCGACGACTCGGTCAACATGCGGCCGGCTCCAAGACAGGTCTGCGATGCCAATCGAGTAGCTTGTTCCTTGGATAGACCGAGGGCTGTGGCGCTGGAGACGAGGTGCTCAACCATGGCGAAGAAGTAGGCGGGGCCGGATCCTGAAGAAAAGAAACTCAATACGTCAGTCCCGATGTGCCTGGAATCCCAATTGACACTACGTAGACAGGTAGGTAAATACTCACCCGACAATCCGGTCACAACATCCAACAGCTCCTCCTTATCCACCCACTCCGTCGCCTTGCTGACGCTGCTCAGCAGCGCATTCACCAGCTCCCTCTCCTCCCCGGTGACATCCCCACTAGGATACGCCCCGGAGGCACCCTCCCCAACCAAGGCGGGAGTATTCGGCATCACGCGAACAATATGCGCCGTCTTGCCATCCCCCGTGCGCAACCACTGCTGCAGACTCCCCAACGTAATACCCGCCGCGATGCTCACGACAACGGGCAAGGTGTCGCGCTGGGCCCACGCGGCCGCCAGCTCCTCGCACACGCTCTTCGTGACCTGCGGCTTGACGGCGATGATGACGAGGTCGGCTTGACCGCCCGCTTCGACGTTCGAGGTCGTGGTCTGCACGCCCGTGGCGGCGATCTTCTCGCGATTGACGTCCCAGGGCTCCGAGACGTGGATGTTCTGCTTGTTGACGCCCTTGGTGACGAGGCCGCCAATGATGGCGGAGGCCATGTTGCCGCCGCCGATGAAGGCGAGCTTGCTTTCTTGGAGGGAGGGCATGATTGAGGTGGAGGTGGAGGTGGTGTTGGGGATATGTGACGATTGATTGTGGTTGTGGTGAAAGTGAGTCAAGAGTCCAGATAAGAGGGGAGACAAGTTCGGCGGGCAGAATTTCTACCCCACTCGGCGATGAGGGGAGAATGTGGGGCGCCACCTTAGCAAAGCTTACCGGCCCGGTCGAGGACTATAGGAGCCGGTGGTTTAATATCGTAGACAGCCTTATGGGTTCGAAGGATTCTGGTCTGATCATTCTACCTTGGCAATTGCAACCCCCCAATTACAAGTTCGCCTTCTCGTTCAACGCCCAGTACTTGATTGACTTGACCGACAACCACGCCTCCAGCGCCTCCTCGCCCATATCCCGACCAAAGCCACTCTGCTTCACGCCGCCAAACGGCATGCTGGGCGTCATCATCCCCCAACAATTGACAGTAACCTGCCCCGACTCCAGCGCGTTCGCCACCCGGTCTGCGCGATGAACATTCTCTGTGAAAACGGCGGCACTCAGCCCATATTCGGAGTCATTCGCCTTGGCAATGACCTCGTCCTCGGTGGAAAATCGGTGCACCGTTGCCACGGGTCCGAAGATCTCCTCTTTCACAACGGTGAAGTCCTCGCCTACATCGGTCAAGATAGTGTTCTCGACGAATCCACTCGAGCCCTGCGCGGTGCCAGTACCGCCGAGGACGGTTTTGGCGCCTTCTTGTCTGCTCTTTTCCAGATAGGATAGGATGCGATCGTGTTGCTGTTTGTTGATCACCGGGCCCTTCGTAACACCCTTCTGCAATGGATTTCCCGTGACGGCAGGCATCTGGCGGGCGCGCGACACCAGCCCTTCGACGAAACGGTCGTAGATACTATCCTGAACGTAGATTCGCGATCCGAGCGCACAGATTTGGCCATTGTTGGCGCTGGAGCCTACCAAGTTCCAGAACAGAGCATTGTCCAGGTTCGCATCATCAAAGACAATCGAGGGACTCTTTCCCCCGAGCTCCAGCGTCACTCTTTTCAGGTTCGAGTTTGCCGCCGCACGAAGAATGCTCCGTCCGGTGGGCGTGCTTCCGGTGAACGAGATCTTGCGGATGTGCATGTGCTCCGCGATAGCTTTGCCTGCCACGGTGCCTAGGCCACACAAGATGCTGACCACACCGGCAGGGAAACCAGCCTCGACAATCAACTGACCTAATTTCTGTCCGAACAGGGGAGCGGCCTCGGGGGACTTGATGATGAGCGTGTTGCCTGCTGTGAGAGCCGCGGCTAGCTTCCAGATTGTGATCATCCTAGCTCCCGAGTGTTAGCTTCGATCCAAAACATCTCATACTCATAATGCAAGCTCAAATGGCATACAGCGGCGCATTCCAGGGTACGATCGCCGCGCAAATTCCAATGGGTTCCTTTCGAACCGCACCCTTCCCACCAGGGACATCGACCACCCGACCGGAGATCTCGGTGCGGTTGGCGAAAAAACGCAGCGTCTCGCAGGCCTGCGAGATATCGAACGCCTTCACGTCATCATAAACGAAGCCACCGTCCAGGGCGTGGATCGTCGCGAACTCGTCAGCATCGCGTTCAATCAAATCCGCGAGTCGATTCAGCAGCGCTTTTCTAGTGGAGGCGGAGGCGTATCGCCAGGTTTGGTATGCGTGGCTGGCAGCGTCAACGGCGCTGTCGACATCTGCGGACTCGGCAGCAGAGATGGAGCCAAGGACCTCGCCCGAAAACGGGTTCTGAATCTCGAGCACGGAGGCCTGTTTGCTCGGGACGAATTGGTTGTTGATGAAGAGGCCGGATGGAACTGGACAGACCTGGATTAGTTGTTTGGTTTAAGGTAGGAATCAGATGGTGTTCAACGTACTACTGATCAGGCGACCCTCTCGGCCTGTCAAACTGATTGAGCTCATGATGAAAGGATAAAGGCAACGTGTAGGCCAGGGGGAGAATGAATCGCCGTGTGGTTTGAGAGATCAAACCAAGTCAAGCCGAGTTCAGGGGGAGCGAAGTCGACTAATTAGTAGCCAGTTAGTACATCTTGTCCGGCGATGATCGTCTCATGCGGAGGCGTTCCGTCTGCAGCTCGGAATGGAGACGTCAACCACCGTCGCTGCACCGCGGAAGAAACGCGGAAACTCGGAATTCGTTCCAGGGGCATCTTCTGCTATCTCGGTCCCTCGTCCGTAAGTGTCTCGTCGTTGATCCGCTCCTCATCAGGCATCCAGCCAAGGGTATCTGCCCCTCATTTGGCCCTTTAGGGAAGTAGCTCTAAAGTCGAGGCTTTCAGCTGTCAGGGTATGCCGTAGTCGTAGTATGTCAGACTCCGCAAGCCATTCGGAAGAGCATCCCATCCATGGTTGACAGCAGGACCCACTGGTGGGAGGGATGGGAGGCTTTATTATTCTTCCAACCCTCTTGGTCTGTCATCATCTGTCTAGGTTTTTCGTAGGCAGCGAAGATCGTTAATCTGAAAGGAGGCCCCTCTCGCACCTCATCTGTTCTGGTTGTCAGCGTGCCTAAATGGATTGGAAAGCCCATGAGAACCCGGGCAGATTGAGACCCATTCTCCTGTGGGTCAAAGAAGCAGAGACTTGGCCAATGGCAAGTGAATGTCGGAGTGTCCTTCACTGTTTATCGTTGAGTCATGTCGTGTCCACCTCTGGGGAAACGACCCCATCACTAGGAAACAGCCTCCGATGTCCCTCCTTCTCTTAAATCAGGGTTTTATAAACATGTCGCACCGACACTAACTCCTACAAGCTCGGCGGAAAAAAAGAGAGAAGCAAAAACCAACACTCACTGAACCTACTGAGCCTGAAATCCTATACTTCAAACACCACTTTTCCTACATCGTTGAGTTGGTCAAATCCTCAAATCTTCAATATGTCAAGCTCATTCTACGAGACCGCCGCCAACGCCGTCCAAGCCCGGACTCGCATTCGCCACCACATCTACGAAACGCCTCTCATCCCAGCCCGCAAAACAGGCCAAGAATCCAACACCAAAGTCCTCTTCAAAGCCGAAAATTTCCAACTCACCGGATCGTTCAAACTACGCGGTGCTTTGTCAAAGGTATCCGCCCAGACCACATCGGGAGGACGACTGATCACCGCATCTTCGGGAAACCATGGAATCGGCGCAGCGTTCGCGTCACAGGCCCTCTCCAAGGATCTCACCGTGGTCCTGCCGGAGACCGTGATGCCTGCCAAATTAGAAAAGATCCGCTCCTTCGGCGTAGAGGTGATTCTGCACGGCGCAGAGACTGGCCTCGCTGAACAGCACGCCCAGCAACTCGCGGCATCAGGCGCATACACGTACATTTCACCGTACAACGATGCGGACATCGTCGCCGGCCAAGGAACCATCGGAATCGAAATCCTGGAGCAATGCGAGCAGGTCGACAACGTGTTCATCTCGATGGGCGGTGGCGGACTCATCAGCGGCATCGGGTCCGTCATTAAGGCGTTCAGCCCCCACACCAAGATCTACGGCGTCGCGGCCCTCAACTCCAAAGCCTTAGCTGCCTCTTTGGCTGTCGGTCGGGTCGTCGAGACGGATCACCTGCCCACTCTGGCTGAGGCAGTGGCGGGTGGTATCGATGAGGACACGATTACTCTTCCTCTGGCGGGTTCGGTGGTCGATCGCGTCGTGGAGTGCGACGAGGCGGACATTGTGGGGGCATTGAAGACGCTGGCGTTCGATGAAAATATGTTAGTTGAGGGCTCAGCGGCTCTAGCTCTGGCTGGGTTTCAGAAGGTTGCTCGCGAACTGACTGGTCAGACGAGTGTCATTCTCTTGTGCGGTGCCAATGTGGATCAGGACGTCGTAAGAAGGACTATTTACGGGGTCTGAGACGAAATTGAACTTGTAACGATTTCTAAGCGGGTTGGATGTGAAGGAATGTTAGGATGTACTTGTTAAGAACCAAGATCTCTCGCGCAACGGTTGAATTCCCCTACTTGGTGCTGCCACTTTGGCGATAGGAGGATAATGCATTGATGCTCAGCAGCATTTGAACGCAACTATGGTCGAGTCGTGCACGTTAAATTGAGGGGATTGATACTACCACCCCCCTTTGGATCCTACCACCCCCCCCCCTGCCTGAATTCTTAGGTCAATATTTTTTCTGCCGGACATATTTCTACCACCACCGACCATCATGAGGTAACTACTTACATTTACTATGCAACCCCCTAATTAAATGAAGTCACTCTCGTACTCTACCACCCACCATGCCAATTGGACGGCGAATCAGGCTGTGAGGAAGCCATCGTAAAGGAAAGTGAGAAGCGAGAGAAATGGGTGAAAAACGCGAGAGAAATGGGTAGTAAAATGGGAAGTTTGAAGGTGTAAACAACAATTATTTTGAATTCCTTATTGGGTACTACAGTGGAATAGGAGTGACTTATTTTTACTAGCAATTTACATAGTAATTGGAGGTACCTAAATGCAGGGTAGTGGTAGCAATAAAATAAAAGTTCGTGGATGAAAGCGGTGAGAAAAGCGGTCAACACTGGCCTGAGAATTCAGGCAGGGGGGGGTGGTAGGATCCAAAGGGGGGTGGTAGTATCAATCCCCTAAATTGATGCAGGGTGAATGATGAAAGAAGCGAAATTGAAGAGTAGAGTAGAGTATTAAGCTAAGAACAATGTTCTTGAAGAATCTAAACTAGGGAACTTAATGATACAATAAGACTTCGTCCGGTCTCTCATTTGAATAGGGCATCAGAAAGCACAACGAACAACAAAGAACAAAGGATAGAAACTGACACGTAAAAGAATGTCCCCAGAGCCGAGCATATTAGTCAAAAAGCCCATCTAGCAAAGATCAAGCATAGGAGACATCCAGGACCCCTTCATTGAGTCTGATAAGCACTTATCTTATCTCATCCGCCCTGGAAGACTGCGCAGTAACCGCTCCAGTTCCACTATCCCCCGCGCCAGAATCCAGGAAAGAAGGGATTAACAGAGTCTAAGCCTTATTCTGAACATTCCGACTCATCGCTCGGACTGTATGACCACATACGTGCAACACATAAGGGACCGGTTCCATGGCCGCAGCAATAACAGCAACTATGGTCAAAGACAGGTGGATGCGGGCCTAGGTCGTCGTACATCTTGATCGACGCGGGACTGAGCCTTCGGTTTGATGACCTGCAGTGGCGAGGGTATGTATAGCATAGTATATGGATGGGTAGCTGACCAGGAAATCAAATTACTCAGCCATCTCGGACACATATGCCAGTCGGGACAATTCATCGTAACTCGGACAGATTTGAATATTCAGATACTTTATTTTATAAGCGCGTGACAATCCAGGACCGATGTACACAAGGCTAGTGGGAGTGTATCTTTGAATTTTTGTTTCCTGTCAGACCAACCGAGCGGATCGGGCTTGATTGGCCCATGATGACTGAACAATGTTCCAGAATAGAGAGACTCGGTCTACTCCAGTATACCAACTTGCCTTGCGACATTTCCACGATCGATGCTGATAAGATCATGCTGAGGTTTGAGGCAAGAACCGACAAGCAAAAGGCTCATGTCTGCTTCATCTACCTATTCTGGTTAGAGGATTCGCACCAGTTCTTCGGCACCCCACAGCCTTCGAGGTCGATCCATTTCAGACAGTAAGCTGCGCAAGCAAGTCTCCGTGAAATCCCTGCGGCTTCAGCCCAGTCTTCATCAGAATTTGTACCTGCGGCAGCGTGTGAGAATGTCCACGCCCTGGCGGTCGGCGCAATGGCGTTTGGTATAACGCCCGCCAGTAGGCTAATGATAGATGAGTGAGGGTTGGCAGACGTGATAAAAGGTTGATGAGTGAGTTCCAATTTGTAGCAGTTGGGTGTGCAAAGGAAAGATAATCGAGATTGTAGAAGTGAAATCTTTGACTAAGTGTCTGCGGAAGAGGTGCACTGCGATTGGCGCTGGTGGGCTCGTCAATGCTCTCGTCAGACTCGGCATCTGGAGGCTGTTGGAAACCGATTTTGGGCGCGTTTATGTTCCCCATCGGGTTTTGAGCTTGCCTGAGCTTGCCTGTAGATGGAGAGTGTTCCTTTGTTCTGTTAAATGGAGTCGAGGTAAGGCGTGAAATAAAAAGAGCTCATTAGAGAAACGTAGAATAAAGGCAGAAAGGAGAGAGAAATTAGTAAGATCTAATATATGTCCAGCCAAAAGAGACAGACTCGTAAAGAATTTCAGAAAGCCAAGGGAAGACTACAGATTTGAGTAGAAACAGATGCGAAGTTTGTAAAATATTAGGATATTATTAAATGAAGCAAGAGGCGCATCTTATTTATTCCATCATTTGGGCGGTTTGCTCGTCGAATCCTGACGTCGGCACAGCAGTGGAACCAGTCGAGTTGAGCGTTTTTCAAAAGCTATATCAAATAAACAGAAAGTATCAGACCAATCAGCAACTTGAGCCAAAAAGTTCGCACCAAACTGTTCACACCATCGCCCTTTGACAGATCACAAGTCGAAGTTATAACAACCACAATTTAGACAGGTCCTCCGCTTAGTTTCTTCCTCTTCTTATTGTTGTTTTATCTCCTCACACATCTTGTCATACTCCTCGCTCCTTTTCTCCCTACTCCAAACGCGTCCAATCTTGGTGCAACGCACTATCTGAGCATTAGAGCTCTCAACCCATTGATCCAGACGAGTCGGAGACCCCGGCCAGAAACCGAGATTGCGGAAGCACCGGAAAATCTGATAAGAGCCTAAGAATACGACAAAATCACATTTGGTGAGGTAATCGTCAGGCGCCTTCTTCTTCTCATCTCTGTATTCTCTCTCCAGTTCCTCAACATAACCTTGTGCTTCTGCCCAGAAAAAGAACGGACTCTTCGAAGGAACCACGGCTTCCGCATCCAGTAGACCCTTGAGGTCCCCGATGCGAAGCGATTGATCAAGCTTCCAGTCGCAATAGTAATCGAGTGGTCCTGACGAGTCCCTCCGCCATCGATAAAGCAGATACGTGAGGTCGGGGGCTGTTTAAGTAGCATTTTCCTCCAGCTTGCCTCCGGCCGCAAATAAGCTTGCTTTCTGGGAAGTTTAGATGCTCTGGGTTTTGCTGTGTACAAGTACTGAGGCCATATAGTCCCCGCAATCAGCGAGTTTATGATGCGTGGTTGACCCTGCATTTCTTCTTGAGATAGTGGTTGAAAGAATAAAGCTTTCTGGATTCTATCCGAGTCTTTGATGATATTTCTCCATAGGCGGCAGACCCGGGCAGAAGTGAGGAGAGTGCGCATATCTAGATGTAGAAGGATTGGTTCAACAAGTTCTGGGATGAAGAAAAGGTCCGATGCCTCTCCCACTGTTTTCTTTCGGGGAGAGAGATGCTTTTTCACGAGTTCTCGAAGCATTTTGTCTGCGAAAACGTGTTGGATGAGAAAAAAAAAGGGGCGAGAGTGAATGTATTGGTGGAGGTAGGTAGTAAAAGTGAATAGATGGAGGTAAGGAGTCATATAAACTTAAAAATGAAAAATGACATAATAAGTACGTTGAAGCCTACCTACATGAGCCACTACTCGTTGTTGATATTTCAAGGCTTAGTAGCCCTCTACCTATCTCAATCTATCTCCACACTGTATTCCTAGGATTAAGATTGCTTTAGGGTTAGACCAGAAGTGACGAACGGTTGTACTGGTGATCGTGTTGTCACTGCAACTCCGGGCTGATTTTGTACAGTCATAGTAGCACCTGCTGCTTAGTGTGTGAATATTACAGACGGGCTTTTCTAGGCTATCGGTTGGTGTGTTATATAAATAGAGATAGGTGTTGAAGGTGCCGGGATGCAGATACAGATGATGCCACCTTGATGCCACATTGATGCCATACCGACATCACTCTTCTAACATCCCATCCGGCGTTCTCTCATTTACCAAATCCCCATTCACCATTTTATCTCCCATATCCATCATTTTCTTGACTGCCGTTTTCCCATTCACCTTTCTTCTATTCATTAACCTCTTATCTACCATCTTCTCGGTTAATATCCATATCTATTACATATCCTCAACGCACCATGTTGGACTGCAGGCTCGAAGAAACAACTCTGATGAAACTCCAAAGCAAGGAGATATCCATAGAACAGAGTCCTTATCAGCTGGTTGAGTTATTCGCAGAAAGGTTCGTACCAGAGATGCTCGAGCGTCATGCGCATTTTGTCGCAAGACGAGAAAGCGACAGCCTAATGTACATGATCAAATTGTACTTCCAGTAAGTCTATTCTTTTTCCGTAATTGCTTTCTATATCAACCTATACTAATAACATCTGCAAAAAGAGTCCACCCGGGAAAGGCCGCTGCTGATGAGGCAGCCTTCTGTGCCGGGTGGGGACGCAGAGACTTTGAGAGTGAAATCCGAGGCCTGCAACTCACAGAGTCAATTCCTGAGACTCCGAGTCTTCTTCAACATGGGACAATGCGCCAAGGTGACAGCCAAGGTGACATCCACGAGTACCCTGGCGGATATATCAACGTTATCGTCATGCCCAAAATGCCCGGAAAGCCCGCAGGTGAATACGAGTGAAGGCGGTTTCATCAGGAGAAGAGTCACTGAGATCTTGGAGTAAGTCTAATACTTTGAGAGATATGGCATCTCGCTTACGCTAAATCTAGGAGCATGCGTCTGATGGGATGGAAGATGTCAGAGTGGCACCCTGAGAACGTTGTCTACGATCGCAGAACTGGGGATGTGTAAGGCACCGAATAACAGTCACGCATCATTTTGACTTGATAAGAAAGCTTACATTTACACAGGTCTATCACAGGTCTAAACAATGGAATAGAATTGGATACCAACAGGACCGTGCCAATTACCGAAGATTCTCCGCTCGTGAACGGATTTGGTCAGAATATCTGGTGGGAATAGTTGCCTTGCTATTGTTTGACCAGAGATTGGATGATTAAATTCTTTCTCATAAATACATTATCGACTGATTGATTGAAGCTTCTCTTGATATTTGTGGTTATTCGTGCGGTCCAAACCGCAAAGCAGCTGAGGTGCAGACCCTATATCAATCACCTGCAGATGACTTCATGACAGGCCTGAAAGTGAGATCTGACACTGGGGTATACAGCCACTATATTGGAGCCCGAGAAAATTTAGCAACTGAGCAAGATAAAAAGACGATGATATTTCTCATGCTCAATTGATTCATTGAGACCTTTCTTTCCTCCATCTGTTTGCACATTCTTACTCTCCGGCTATGTGCCAGGATCGAAATTCACTATGACAGCAGGTGTATCTCTCTGAGCTTAGAATCAGTCACCTGGAAGACATGTCACACAAGAAGAGCAAAAGCAACAGTATGTCATGGTATTGGACTAAGATTAGAGCGTCTCAAAAGGGGTATATTTCAACATGGACTTCTCCAAAGCAGAAAGCTTCAAGTTAGCTTAGCGATCCACTGCACGAGTATTCAAAGTGCATTATACTCTCAATATCTATCAAAACGAAATGGTCAAAGGGTTGAGAGGTCATATGAAGGAGTGAAAAGAAGCAACCTTTCCACTACTCCAGCTTGAAATGTTGTTGAGCCCCAGTTCAAGATACTAGAGATCTTGCTAACAAGATCGAATGCTCGGTCTTGACGTATCGTTCGCACATGTCAATATTAGCTACGCAGTAGTCATCCTCATTCTCATTCCAAAAATGAGCCCAGAGCTCACAGGCGGGTCCCTCCGTGGTTGCGGAAAAGGTACTTGTCCAATGCAACGGCTCCATGTTAGGAATATATTCCACCAAGGTTCCTTTTGGAGGGTACTCATCCCCGCAAAACATGTCAAGGTACGGCTGGCAGAGCTTTGGATCAAGGTCATCAATCGTGCCGTAAAACCGCGGGACAATAGTTAGATGGGTATAGTTAATAAACTGTCATGGTGATCGATCTTCCGGTCTTGGCTTGACAGCGGTGAGCATGGAACATTGATGCTAAGAATAGTTTAATCCATCGGAGGATTTCCCGACCGAGGGAGATCCACGGCGAAGGCGGTGAAGGGAGCTCCGCATCCAGCCCCCCGTCAGTCCAGGCAATAATGATACCATCTTCCTGCCTCCTCTTCTTTCTTCCCACGACTCCCCTCAAGTAGGACTCCGTGGTCCTGGGAGCTGGAGATTCACTATTATTTCCTAGTGTTGTACATGGTTATGCCCGGTGCCTCTTGCTTGGTTGGTTGGTTTGCGGAATGCTGAACCCGGCGGAAGCAGACATCACACGCGGTCAATAAGCCGCGAGTCTCATGAGTAACTAGTTCTTGCGACGATCGTCATGGCTTCATCTTCTGGTGGTACAGGCTCTAGCCTGGCCCGCGCGGTGGTCATTGTCTCTGGTGTATCTTCTCTAGTAGCCTCTTTGCTATCACTCCTGTGAGAATACCATTCTTTCTTCTCGATCCCCCTTATCGCAGCCTGGTCATGCTAACATCCAACCCTCTTTCACAGCTCCATATGGCTTCAAACGTACGCCCTTGCGGACCCTATGTTCCCTCCTTTACACTCGCTGACCGACCTGATCTAGCAAAAACTATCGAAAACCTCTACTCCAACGATACGTGGTTCGCATTCTATTAATGTCAGTATTCGTACACTTTGATGGAGGAGGTCCATCGAACTAAAATTACTAAGGGTCCCTATCTATGCGGCCGCTTCATGGACGAGTATCATTTCATTAAAGGCATCTCTATGGCTGGACCCAATACGAGATGTTTATGAGGTATTGCCCTGGATTCTCGGGACCACCTAGGTGTCCGCGCTGCTGACACGAACTGCTTTGCGCTTCCCAGGCCTTCACGATATACACGTTCTTTCAGTTACTCATCAACTTCCTCGGAGGCGAACGAGCCCTGATTATCATGACCCATGGCCGTGCTCCCGTCCAGCATGCTTGGCCTCTAAACCATTGCCTTCCCAAAGTCGACATCTCCGATCCCCAGACATTTTTGGCCGTCAAGCGCGGCATCCTCCAATACACATGGCTGAAGCCGATTTTGGCCACGGTCTCCATAATTATGAAAGCGACCGATACATACCAGGAAGGCTATTTGGGTCTCACATCAGGGTATCTCTGGACGGGAATTGTGTATAACGTCAGCGTGACAGTCAGTCTCTACGCATTAGCAATGTTCTGGGTCTGCCTGCACAACGACCTGGCGCCTTTTCGTCCAGTCCCTAAGTTTCTCTGTGTGAAACTTATCATCTTCGCATCGTATTGGCAGGGGTTCTTCCTGTCGATTCTGCAATGGCTGGGGGCTTTGTCCAACGGCGTTGCAGGCTACACTCCCGACAATCTGGCTGCCGCCATTCAAGATACTTTGATCTGCTTTGAAATGCCAATCTTCGCAATTACCCATTGGTATGCCTTTTCCTGGCACGACTATGCCGACCCCACTATCTCCGCTGCTCGCTTGCCCGTTGTCTATGCTCTTCGAGACGCCTTCGGCATTAAGGATCTCATTGAAGACACGAAGATGACGCTGCGCGGTGAAAATTATGAGTACCGTCTCTTCGATTCGGGGGATCACATTATTGCACACGAAGAATCCGAGTCCCGTCTTCGGCGGGTGATGCATGGCATGAGGTACGAGCGTGGAGGAAAGGCGAAATACTGGATTCCTAAGCCCGGCGAGGTAAACAGCCGGACTCCGTTGCTGTCGGGCTTCGACGCAGGCTCGCGCAGGCAACGCAGCAGTACTTTGGATCGATACCGCTCTCCTCCTGGTGAACTCGAGGAATTCGAAGTTGATCAAGACGACGAAAGGATCTTCAATCAAGCCCGCGCGCTGGAATTTGGTGACTGGAATGTAAGTCGCAGCGTCCGCTCTATCCAATTTTGACTGACAAAGGCTGATAATTCTCACTAGTATCCTGTTATCACGGCCAACGAGGCCCCGAGAGATCAACATTTACTGAGACCTGCCAGTTACCAACCCGCCCAGACACCTGACGTTGTCAAGAAGGCTCGCAAACAGCGGAAGGTTCGCGGCTCGAGCGAATCCAAGAGCACGCACCGAAGCCACAGCAACACCTCGAGCCGGTCTCGTAACGATTCTCTCCGAAGTCCGGGCTCGCGACCGACCCCCACGAGTTCGGCATCTCACGGCTCCCACCGCAGTCAGTTGGTGGATCTCGTCATCGAGGACCGGGAAGCCGAAGAAGAGGAACAGGTCCATGCCCAGCGAGCATTTGGCTCAACGACGATAGAGCCTGAACAAAAACACTTCCGGTTAGTAGACTCTACGTTCACACTAGAAATGTCCGATTCCCAATCGCTCCAGTTAACCTTAAATTTCAGGAGACCCTCAGGGGAACCAATTAACGACGATGCGCCATCAGGGGCGGCTGAGAGGGAGGACAATGCGGATGGTGACGAACCCAAAACACGAACATGGTCATATGGAGACCTGGAGGAAAATGTCTGGGACCGATGAACCCCGTGAGCGAATGGCAGCACATTAGTGACCTTCTTGGGAGACAGATTATAAATAGTTTTGTTCTTGCGACAGACCATTCAACTTCGAAAGGTTCACGGCGACCGGTGGTTGGTCGCCCGCACATACATAATGCCGATGATAATTTGTTACTCCGACCATGCGACCGTGAAAGACCATAGGAAGTAAGGAGAAAGAGAGCTACAGGCTGGTAGTGATTATTGGCACAACGTGGACTAGGCCAATTCGTGTTGGGGCAAATGGCGACGCCTCGTTAGGCGCCGACGATGTGACAAAAGGCCGTGGATCAGGCACTAACGAACTAGCTTGCATCCAGGCACGCTGCATGCGCTGGCTCTCTCATTGTCATTAGCTGATCCTCGCTTTTTTGGGCCAGCCTCTCGTTTCCCACGCGGGGGTCTTGGTCTGCTTCTGATCTCTCGTCTGTTCTGTCGGTCTACTTTGTCTCTCTCCATCCCCCTCTTTTGACTCCTTCGTTTGGATCCATCTCGTCCATACAGGAGGATGGACGAACGACTCTGAAGCGCCGGTAGTTATGAACTGGGCAATTGGACAAGCAGGATCCATTTTCACCGGTTGGATCTCGTCCTGCTTGTTCTGCCCTACCTTAAGGGATGATGAGAGCTCCCTACATGAGCAGTCAATGCAACAGAAAGGTTCGTACAACCGTCTGTCTGTTCTCTTTTCCCCCTTGCTTTTTCTTTTTCTTTTTCTTTTTTGTGTATACAGGAATATATATACATACATGCATAAGAAGGCCAACACAGCTAACATTGTCTGCATTGCAGGAGCGGAGCGAGAGATGAAAGTATGCCACACCCAGCCCCAACTGGTCCCCCCGATGAAGCTGGCCGACGATCCGCCCAGCTTGTCTCGGCCATCATGGGTTGTCGACGGCCGTAATCTCGCATCGCGCGCATCTAGCCGGGCTAGCATGTCGTTCAGGAGGAAGTCGATGGCGACGACGTCGTTGAGAATCAGTGCCCCGTCCGAGTTCAGACGAGTTCCTACGTTTTCCATGACACCGGAGAGGGCCTCATTCCGCCCCCTGGAGCTGTCTTTAGGACACTTGCCGGAGCTCCCCAACTTCGAGGACTTCCATTTGGATGACGACCAGTCCCGGTCTCCTGCTCCTGTGGCTCGACCTCCCAGGGCTGAGCTCTCAAGACACTCGCGCTCTCGGTCCCATCACCTTTCATCATCCTTTCACCTACAGCGCAAGCCTGTCGGTTCTGGATCTCTTCGTTCATCGCTGGCGCCTTTTGATCACCTCATCCAGACGCCTCCTCCCATTCCTTCTAATTCTCACGTTCCCCAATTATCTTCTTCTTCTACAGTCACTGGCCTGACTTCGAACAATTTTACACCCCCGCAGCTGGACCCAACTCCGCCTGTAAAGGAAGAGTCTAGTAGGGACCCTCCAAGCGAACTCCCCAGCGTCCCTAGAACGCCCACCCTGCAGGACAGGCCATTAACTTCATTTCTTGTCGATGATTCATCCTCCGCGCCATCAACACCCAGGGAGGCTTATCCCCCGAGGACTCCGTCGGAGAACACGACCAGCCCTAACGTGAATACCACCACCCCACCGCGCTCCAGCCGCGTCACCCAATGGCTCCTGCAAACCAGTAACAAAAGCATGTTCTCGCCCTCCGGATCCGTTACTAGCTGGAAGCCCACCCCTGACAAGAATCCCTTCCGTCTGCGTTCCCGCACTCTCAGCGGCTCAACCGTAGCGTCCTCCATCAGCAGCCTGACCGGCAGCTTAGGATTCAAAAACACCGCCCCTTCAGAATCCGATAACATGACGACCACCACCACCACCATCCGGCCATCGAACATGGATTCTCGCCTCGCAAAAGACCTAGAATTCCCTCTTCCTGTGACCAATACAGACGAACATCAAACCCAGAATCACAACCTCAATCACAACGCATACCCCACTATCAACGAGAGCCAAGACCAACAAAAACAGCAGGATGACGAACTCTTCCCATACAATTACTATGAGAACTATCGCCATTCAGCCGTGGGCCTGGCATTCTAAATGAACAGATGAAAAGATTTACAATCACGTATGACCACCGTCATGAGAAAATGAGATGGATGTGATGAGATGGACAATTGGGGATAGATGAGAGAGACTCCGGGTTTTCTTTTTCCGTCTGGGTGGTGTGTTCTAAGTACCCCTTCTACCTTATTATTCCTTTCTGGTTGACTTGCATGCGCTTTTTTTTATTCCCCCCTCTTGTTCTTTCTTTTCCTTGATTTGGGTCTGATCCGATCCGATGCTTGCTTGAGTTGAGTTGAGTTGAGTTGAATGGCTTTTATTCCCATTCTTTACGGTGCGATATACTTGTTGCCCTTCCTATCGTTATTGCTAATGCTACACAACCCCATCGCTCATTAATTGATACCTACACCGAACAGAAAGACACGCAAACATATGCAATCACAGTCTTTACCTATCGATTATCTGCATGTCTATTTATCTATCATTCCAGGCTAGCTAGCCATGTTATATATAACCAGTAGAAACAATGTCATTTAGCTGTCCAGTGCTTAATGACTCGATCTGATCGATTGAATGTTTGACACTTTCACTACCTTACATTTTTGAGTTGTACGAAGAATACGAATAAGCTAGGAATCATGCATAAAAAAGCACTTCATTCATATTTCTCTACTTGCATAGGAAGAAAAGAGAAAATGAAAGATAAAGCACAAAAAAGTCAAAGCAGAGAGAGATCTTGGGGATATCGTGTTCGTCGAGGTATATAAGAACTGGAATCCAAAAAAAAAAGTCAAGAAACGCAACACACGCGGCAGAAAAAAAAAAAAGACAAAAACCGATCTGAAACTCCGAGACAAGGGATGCCAGAGAGGAGAGAAAGAGAGATAAGAGAAAGGGGAAGAGGATCAGACAAACACAAACACCAAAAAACAACGAAAACACCATCATACACCATCATTTCACTTGGTATCTTTGGTATCAATCATAGGTATCTTGTTGGGATGAGGGTGCTGGTATTTGGTTCACCACTCCCATTTAACAAACAACTTCACTGCCCAGAAAAAAAAGAGAACAAGACATGAACAGGGATATAGAAAATTGAACAATCGGAGCACAAAAAAAGAGAAAAACAATCAACTGAAATTTTCTCAAAGGGTATCGCTTTCCCCCACTCTTTCTCTCTTTCCTGAATGTGGTCCCTCTCTTTTTTACCTTTTTTTGCCGATTTTCCGGAGATCCTTCCTGGGTGACTTTGGGTGGTATCAAAAAGTAAAAGAAAAAAGAAAACAACCGAATCAAGATGCGCTGATAACAAACTCAACAGAAAAACAAACTGAAAGCACATGAAAAACACCACAAAAAAGTAGAAAAGTCTTTGGGGTATACTGCTGCAAATTGACGGTTTTTGTTTAACGCGGTGGCCCGATGGGGGCCGGGTATCCAGAAGTAGAATTGGAAGTACTAGGACGACCACTATCAAAAGACGCACGGGGGTCATGCTTAGGGGTCATATCCCCCGGTACGGTACCGAATGGAAATTTAGTGTCAAAGCGCGCTGGCCAGCCATTGCTGCTGCTGTGGCTGTGGGAACTCCCCAAAACAGGCAGATCGTCCTCCGGGAGATTGACTCCGGAATCATTCCACGGGTTGCGATAGCCACTGTCGCGAGACTCCATAGACACCAATGACGCCTTCGAGGCGTTGCTAGAGGCGTGCTTGAAGAACGAGCCGGGGGATGCCGAATGGTTTTTGCGTCCGATGAAGGAAGAAAAGGACGAGATGCTTCCAGGCTTTCGAAGCCGTTCGAAGATCGAGCCACGCTCGCTGGTCTCGTCGGAGAAATTCGGGCGAGTGGGAGAATCGGTGACAAGAGGAGCGGGCGCATGCTGGAGCAATTTGGAATCAAAGAACGGCAGGGACTCCTCGAAAGAGTCGGATTTGGGACGAGGGATTGCTCCTTTGACGGTGGTCGCGTCGAGTCCGTGTGCAACCAGTCGGGAAATCAAGAAATCGATGGCATCCTTAAGACCGCCCGCATTGTTTCGAGTGTATCCAAGCACAGCACGGTCCTCGGGGGCAAAGGTGGGAGAAGATGAGCCGTCGGAAGGCGGAAGATCGGGGTTCGAGTCAACGTTGGTATCCACCTCGTACTGATCCTTCAGTTTGGCGCAGACATCGTCACGGAATTCGGTCGACTTGAAAAAGTCGCGAAGTTCGGGGGAACTCTGGAAAAGAAGTTCATGGCTCTCCGGGACCATTCCCTGGGACAGAGGTTAGCAGAGTCAACTGCGCAGTCAGCCAACCGAAACACTCACAAGCAAGGCATCGACGGCCTGCGGAACCTGGTACTCGGGTCCGGAAATGGCCACGACATCGCTGGCAAGCTCGGTGCTGGGAAACTCGATCTTGCAGTTCCACTTCTTCTCGAGTTCGTCGATTTCGGTCATACGAGAGAGCAACTCGCGGTGGTACAGTCGGTTGATCACAACGCGCTCAGAAACGTACTCGGCATCCTACAATCACTTATGAGCAAAGGAAGCGATCCCGAGAAGACGGGTGAAACTTACAACTTTCTCGACCATGTCCATGATCTCCTGCTTGACTAGATCAAGACTCTGGGCGTTCCGCGCGGGCGTACGACAGATGACATTGTCGACCTTGATGTCATCATCCTCCTTGCCCATACCGCCACGATCCATCGCATTGGAGAACTTGACGAAAACCGAGTATTTCTTCATGATCCGCTGGATATGCTGACCGCCAATTCCGATGATGCGCTTGTGGTATTGATCGGGCACGTGGAACGAAATTGAGGCGGGCATTTCCTGTTCGACGAGGTCCAACCCGTTCTTCGTAGATTCGTACTGTCCTCCACAGACGTCAATGTAGAAGTTGTACTCGTTGAATCCATCAAAGATGATTTGCACGTTGCCTGTTCAAGCATCAGCATTCAATTCTAAGCGAG